CAGTTGTATAAAAATCTTAAGAGACTTAAATCAACCACAAGGTGGTGAGGTAGATGAAATGTCATATGACGACAAGTACAGACACTTCTCCATGGCAAAGATGAGACAAGTTTTAAATATTTACAATACCCGTAAACAAAAAGGTTTGGGAAACCACTCCCCCGAAGAAATGAAAAACAACCCCGACTTAGAGAAAGACTATATATTTAATAGTTTAGTCAAAAGAGACAAACAAGAAAGAATGCCGGGCTTCAAACTTCAGAAAGGTGACAAAGTAAAAATAGAAATACCTAAACGCGACCCATATGAAAATACTATTGACTATGACAACAATGGGAACCCGACAGGTACTCACATTCGTGTTCGTAAAAATAGAAGAAAGTATACAAGAGAATATTATGAAGTTTTAGGCAAACATGGCAAAATGTACAGACTGCAAGCAGAAGATAAAACTACTATTGTCAGACCTCGTTTCAAACTTGTTAAGGTTCAAGGTGGTATACTTTCAAAGACAGTTCCTAACAAATATAAGACAACTCCTGACGAATATGCTAAAGAAGTGGAACATGACGACTAAGCAATTCTATACCATGCGTAAACTGTCATGTAAGGTGGCATGTAGTCTTTACTTTGTCCCGTTGTTTGCGTATACCCTGAAACGCGATGTGTATGGTTTCCTTCTCCCTGTGTGCTACCCCAGAAACAATTTATAGCAAACTGAACGTCGTCTTTAACATCATATCCTTTACCTTTTTTCATTGCTGACCAATCCCAAAATCTATGCTTATGCCAACCTGCTTCAGCTGTAGTTAAATCTATGTAGTGACTGTGCGCAGGTAAGTTTTCACCTGAAATCGTTTTACTTCCACCTGTTTCCTTTGAAGAGTTTGCACAATACAAAAACCTGTCGACTATTTGAGTCCAAGTTCCGAGACCAAGTACTACTTCTGGTCTGGTAGAGTTCATTGACGTGTAAATAGAACCTATAGGATATAGTGTTTGAAGTATTTCTGTCTTTAATGTTTGAAGCTCTGTTTTGTCAGCTTTTTTATCATATAAATCTTGAGCAGTGAATTTAACTTTGTTTTCATCCTCCATGACATAGACATTTCTACATCTAATGTCTTTATCCGATGTTAAACCTTCTGGAAAGTTAGGAGGTTTAAAATATAATCCACCCCCACCAGTTTCTTCAATCGTTCCTAAAATACTTTCTATACCAACAGTTGAGAAGAAGCTATGTGTATGTCCAACGTCACTTTTCTTGTTTAAGGTTTCTTGTAAGTTTGTAATATTTGCAATGGTATGTGTATGTCCAACGGCACTTTTACTGTTTAAGGTTTCTTGTAAGTTTGTAATATTTGCAATGGTATGTGTATGGTTCTTGTCGGCTTTAAGGTCTAAACATCCTGAAACCCACCCTGTATCGGCTTTAGTTTTTAAAATCTTTGTTGTCCGTTCATGGTACCATTCAACCCTTTCTATAATTTCATTGTCTTTTTCATCCACATATTCCTTATCTGCCTTCTTATCTAATGCACTAGCCACACGTGCTAACTCATCGTCAACATACTCTTTGTCAGCTTTGTTGTCAATATCTGCCTTCAAAAGAAGTTCATCTATAGGTTTCTCGTTTAAAGTTCTTTTTGTTGGATTTATACAAACAGTATGGTTCCTATTGTCTTGAAACAGAAACTCGTCTGTCAATGGGTTTAATGTCAGTTTTAAGTTTCCTTCTTTCAATGACTCAGATATCTTAGAATAGTTTGAAAAGTTTGTTGTGTTCTTATTTAGAGCTTGCAAAATGAGTTGTCGGTTGTGTTGTATTTCTCTCATAGACGCTGTTTCTTTCGACATTTTTATTCTAGATAAAATATGCTTTCAATAGAAAAGAAAATTCAAGAGTTGCTACAACTAAACCATTAGATGAACTTTTTACGAATGTCGGTCAAAAGTTTGAGACAGAGACCGTAAAGCATGAAGGCTATCGTTTTGACTACCCACTAAGATGGTTAAGAGACCCATCCGTCACAAAAGCTATTGGCTTTCGTAGAATGAAGTTCATTCAGAAGCCATACATGTTTCCCATTTACGGTCGGTTTTGAAGTTCGATACTATAACAAAGAAAAACGTACGTATGAGAAATTTGAACAGGGAAAACTTTTTACAAGTGAATTTGCTTGTAAACTTAGAAACAACTCTTCAAGCTTTTCAAGAAAAAATAAACGATATCTATCTCGAATATGCAAACCAGTATAACATTGACGAAGGAGAATACCATCTCGATATTATATATGACAGGAAAAATGCAACTGTTAAAATCAATAAAATAGAAGACCTTGGAGAAAACGTTTATATTTCTACAAAATATAACAACTTGGCATGGTATAGATTTCTAAGGATGTTAAATCAGCCTGCAGAATATCCAGTACACCCGGACTTTTATGAAGTCGAAAACCCTAATGGAACATATGAAAATGTTTTCGACTCAGATGCTATTATAGTTCATGCTTCATTTTCTGGTGCACAAAACTCTTTTTTATGCTTGGCAAATAACTTTTACGAAAAACCTACAAAGCTATATGAACCACCGAGTGGAAGTATTTCAGACTTTCAAGTATGGTTTACAACAGATGGAAGAAAAGAGAATAGTTCCATTATACCATGCGTTTTACTTAGAACTTAGTCTCATATACAACTACTATCGAACGGTAAAATATAATTTTAATACGGTTGAGGTGTTGGATTTGGTTGCCAACTAGACTGTGGTGCAGGTTCAGGCTGTTGTATAACAGGAGCTTGTTCTTCTGGTTCAGGGTCTTTAGGTATAATACCAACGAACTGACCTACTCTTTTACAATATTTTTGACACCGTTCCAAATTCCTCTTCCTACGGTTTTTATTCCATTCCATATACCTCTTCCAACATTTCGAAAGAAGTTTCCAATACTACTGAAGAAACCCATTTTACTATATGTAAAAATCTAATGTCCGCCTAGTCTCTTACGTTTCCTTCTGAGTTCCATAGCATTCTTTAACTGGAGCTCATACATTCTATTTCTCCTCTGGTAGAAACATACTCTGGGTCAACTCCTGTGTTCGCGTCATCTGCATAGAGTTGTTTATATCCCACTTCAGGTTTGTATAAAACTCTTTCCATCTCATATTTGCATACCATGGTGGCAAACCTAACGCAGCGTCATTTGACATGGCAGTTTGCATTTGTACATCTGTTGGCACTTGACCATAGTTTGCCATTGCAGTTTGTATTCTAACTTCATTTGGAATATTCTCTGGGTTTGGTTGTCCAGGTTGCTGTGCATTCGCTAAGTTCTGTGCGTCCATTTAATATTAGATAAAAATATCTCTTACGAGTACATATGCTGAACATTTGCTGGTATTGGTTCATCTTCATATTCTCTATATCTTTCTGCCACGTCAAATAAGTAAATGACACAATGGAAAAAACCTAAAACAAGTAGTCCTATTTCAAACCACATTTACTTACCAATAAAATTTCTTTGTTATGACACTTTCTCCGGTTTATAGGACCTCTCTCATATTCTATTTTATCGTATCTAAACTCATAGTCATGTACGTCCTCTAACCATCTCATAACGGTTTCCAAACCACTTTTATCGGATGTAAAGTAAAAGCATGGATGGTTATGTAAAACGTCTAAAGTTTCTAAAGAGTCTCTCAAAGTCCAGTCTACTTGGTATTGAAAATCCCATGTGTTATAGAACGGCGGGTCTACTATAAAGAAAACATTTTCCTTGTTTTTATATTTTTCATACAACTCTGTCCAACGACATCTCACAAACTCTATACCCTCAGTATATTTTTCTATGTTCTTTTTGAAAACCTTTGTATAGTTAAGATATAAAACTTTTGACATAAGTGTTTCAATGTCATGAACTCTTATAGCACCACTATATAATAGTCTAGAAGATATACTATCCCAGTCAATATACTCTGCTTTTTTCAAAACCTCTCTGACAGTATTTTTCTTATCTAATGGTATACGTTCCATCTTGCCTATAGGTATCTTTTCTTTCAACTCACTCAATATTTTGTTTGTGTCTGGTATATGTTTGAGACGGTTCATATAGTTGTCGAAGTCATTGCATATAATCTTTGAGTCTGGGAATATTGTATGGCACAAATGAGATATATAGAAACTTCCACCGAACAAATCTACAAATGTTAGACCATTCGGTAGTTTCTTAAGTTCTCTCAATAGAATATCTTTACATCTACTCTTATTTCCAAAGAAGGGTAACGGTGGTTTTGTAAAATTCATTTTATATTTAATAAAAATGTTTTTTTCCTGAAAAGTGACAGAAAAGTGACAAAACATCTTCGGGGCTAGAGGGCACGAAGTGCCTGGAAGCCCCAATACTTTTTTTTTCAATATATTAAGTTCCCAAATTGTATAGACAATTTAAAAGATTTTTATTTACGATTTTTATTCATTCTCGTAATTAATCCTAATCGGGGAAATATAGTATCACACCATTTGCCTTTTGTAGGAACTTGAATAGACCTTGCTTACTTGCAAGATTATATTTTTCTTTCATATTTTCTCATTTGTTTTGATTCCAATTTCAAATATAAGTAATATTACGTCTATATATCAATATTTTATATCCAATTTTCGAAATGATCGACCATATATTTGTAGCAATTCAAAAAATCGAATTTCTCCGAAAAACTAGAAATTATTTATTATTCACAATTATACATGATATTCCAAATTGAATCATTAACAAATCATTCAGATGGACTCTCAAATTTGTTGATTATATTTTAACATATAAACTATATACAACTGCTTTTCGCTGTAAGATTTTGGCCATACAAAAATTTGAGAAGAAATTCAATTGACAAAAAATACGAATAATGGAATTCATATCAACACTTATAATAAATTATAAATTACGAAATTCAGTATTCGGATAAAAATTACTTCCTTACAAATCTATAAAGTGCAGAAAGAAATGCAAGGTTATGCTTCATTAGATCCAGCAGACTTGCTGAAAAACCAAGAATTGATTCAACAAATCCAAGATCCAAAAGATTTACTAATGATTGCTAAAAAAAGAAACTTAAACGCCAAAGAAGCGATATTCATTCTCAATGAATGCAAGAAAAGATATGATGTTCATGTGAATTTCGATATATACAGGCACATGAGCATTGATTTCCAAGGAAATGTTGAAGATATTTTAGACTTTATCAGTTGCTCACACAAATGTTTACGAAACCGACCAATAAGACCCATATTCGAGACAATTGTATCAATAAGTGATCAGAATAATCAATATTCTGATGAAATCGAGAAATTGAAAAGAAAAATTTCGAGTATGAAAAAACACATGTCGCAAAAGAATGAAAAGCTAAAGCAGCTTAGACAAGAATCTACATCAGATGAGAACTCTTATTCCCACAACGCCGCCGAAATTCAAAAATATCAAATTGATATCGGAATGAGGGATCAAGAAATCCAAAAGCTTCAAAAAGAACTCCAAGAAAAAGACGAAATTATTAAACAAAAACAAAAAGAACTCAAATCAAAACAACAAATAATTCAACAGAAAGATGAAGAACTCGCATCCAAGGATCAAATAATCAACCAAAAGAATAATGAAATACAAGCAAAAAATGAAGAAATCGAAAAATTAAAACTTGAAATTGAAAATTTAAAGGCGGAATCGCAGCCAGGGCGCAATATTTGCATTGAACAACTTCAAAAATGCTCTTTAACAAAGGAAGATGGTAAAACAATCTATAATATTCTTGAAAAAGCTCTTTCACAAAATAATGTTGACGCCGTCAAATTTGCAGTTGAAAATAAGTATACAGATGTTATATATGAAGGAAATAATATGATAATGGCCGCTGCGGAAGCAAATAATTTTAATCTTGTGAAATTCTTATATTCTGGAGGTGCTCAAATCAAGAACACATCAAAAGTTGGTGGATATACTATACTCCACAAGTTTTGCCAAGTAAATAATGTTGATGGCGTTAAATTCGCCTTAGATTTTATAGATATAAATGATCATAATAACTTTGATAAGTGGACACCTTTACATGTAGCTGCTAGATGGAGCTGCAAGGAAGTTTGTGAGTTTCTCTTGTCAAATAGTAAAATTGATAAAAATCCTCTTAGTGTTCGCGATAAGACACCACTTGATCTTGCGAAAATGATGGATAATAAACAGATTGAAACCTTGTTGATCGACAATGGTTGCAAATAAATCTTTTGCGCTTGATTTCTTATTATCTTATCTTTTCATCTTATTTTATTGTCTATTTATTGAAAATCTATTAAAATTATATCTTTTCTCAATCATGACGTCTTCTTTTTCCCACTTAATCCTAATTTATTTTATAGTATCAAAATCTATGATTGCCAGAATATGTGAGATACACACTATTTCAGATCCTGATATACTCGATTGAATTACTGATATATCAACATTGTGATCAAAGATATGATTTAATTTTTAACAATGCTATTATTTATAATGAATACAGAACATTTTACAAACTCATTATGAAGAAGTTTTCTATACTTGTAAGTCATTTTTATTGAGTTTGATAAAATGTTATGTACGATTCACTCACAGGAGAATACTAAATACACAATACAAACCAGATCAAATGGGATTACAGAAGGAACAGAAATAGTTTATAACAATTCTAATGGAAACAAAACAGAGCAATTTTTATTCAGAAATAATAAGATTATTTCTGCAATCTCAAACCTTGCTTTAGAAGTACAAGGATCAATGCAGCCAGATTCTAAAATAATTTTATCACAAATTAAAGATACAGATAATCAAAAATTTTATTTTAGGAAAGATGGGACTATTCGAACAGCAAATGGACTTTGCATTTCAATTCCAAATAAATCATCTTTAAATTCACCATTAATTCTCAGTCCAGCAAATGGGAAAACTTCTCAAACATGGGTTTTAAATACAAATCTTGCCCGAATGCTTTAAATAATCTATCTAATTACTACTGTTATTGGATATTCCTAACAACACTTATAACCTACTTTTATATTTAATATTATCTACGTATTATGTTTAATTATGCATTTTCTTACATTCACATACTCTAATTTTAAGATGAAGTGCATATATTTTTTCTATATTTGCACAAGAAATTGAATTTTTACTTGATAACAAAAAGTGATGCATAATAAGCATGCAACACAATCCTTTAATGCATCTTCATACCCTATAATGAATTTACATCTCCTCGCAATTATGCACTTACTTTCTTTCGTTGAAAAGATTTCAAATGATTTTTCATCTGAAACCGGTAATGTATTAAGCGAAAATCTACAAAATGATGTATAAACGGGTTTATCCTTTAATAAATCTTACTTATTTTTATATATTTAAAAGATTCATTTAAAATTTCTTGTTTTTTCCCATATAAGCAATTATATATTTCATCACAATTATTAATTTGTTTACCAGACACAAATATATGCAAACATTTTGAACTTTTTGATTCAACAATTTGCATATTTAAATGAGAATTTATGAGATGCGAATAAAAGGATTTTAATTCTTTCAAATCCTATGTTTCATAAGTACAATGATTAATGTCGTCAGATTCTAAAATTGTTTTATCCATAATCAAATAATAATTATTTCAAAGAACAGATAATCAAAAAGGCAAACCTAGGGTTGTTAAAAATATCAAAAATTAGCGTTTTGAAGACACCATGGTGTTTTATAATTTTCCCTTCCTTATTGGCGTGTAGAAATAAATGTGCCAATAGATTGAAGAAGAAGAATTGTTTTTCTCTTAATGAACTTTAATCCTTTTGATATAAGAATATTAAAAACATTAATATAATTTCGATTTCGGAAATTAAATTTCCAAATTTTTTGTCGATTTCGGAAATAACAGGATCCCGCATCCAACACGCAACAACAAAACACAAAACACACTTTTTGGTTCTTTCATCGTTTTAATCGTAATTTATGTAATACATGATTTGGATAAATTTTACAAAAAGAGAACCTATATTATATTCTTTTCAAAGATTCTTGCAAATCATCAAAAATAATTGTATTTTAAAAAACGATCAAATTATCCTTTCATTATTTTAAACTTAAATTAGTTTTTATGATTGACTAAAGCAATCATATTTATTCATCATTAAATAAACAAAAAAATAATATTTGAGAGTTATTTCAAAAAAAAACACATTGAATTTATTAATTTGTCTCAATTTCAGTATTATAAATTTTTATAATTTCAATATTTTGAAATACACTTTTTAATATTTCAATATTTATGATATTTCAATGTATTAAGTGGTCTCAAATTGAGCTTCTCAAATATAAGTTGGCCTATTCAAATAATAAAATTAAATAATATTTAAAATAATAAATAAAAGTGATTGAGGTCATAGCAAAACGGCTGTTTCAGTCATTAATTCTTAAAAATAAAAAGGGTAAAAACTAAATAAAATGGGTAAAATTCAATAGTGTCTGTGCTATCGTTCAATTTGAAGGTGTCTTTTAAAACCGCAAGACACATTTCATTTTTAATAGTGTATTATGGTTTGACAGACACCAATGAAAAAAATAAAATGATATTTATTTTAAATATATAAGATCCTTATATAAAATATAAATATTTTATCGTTTTATTTTCTTGTTTTAGAAATGTTTTTTATTGAAAAATCAATAAAACTAACTCCAAAATAAAATTTTTGATTTAAAGACACTATGATGACACCAGGCAAATCTTCCAAGACACCTATCGTCGGGAATCTAACAACCCTAGGCAAACCCAAATTTTAGCTAAAAGTGACAGGAAAAAAAACGTTTAGTATTAAAAAAAAGACCGATGAGAGCTTCGTTCGAAATATAGAGGGAACTGAGAATGCGCAACCATTCTCAGGGAATATTGGATGCTATTCCCATTCCCTCTGTATGGAAAATTGAGGTTTTCAAAGGGAGTTAAAATAATATCAAATTTATACTAATTTACTTCAAAATACAAAAGTATTTGACAGCTAAAATTAGTTACTTTAGCAAGCCTATCAATACCCTTTTACGATTATTGCTACTTTTTCGAAATAAAAGTAAAAACAAATTTATACTAATTTACTTCAAAATACAAAAGTATTTGACAGCTAAAATTAGTTACTTTAGCAAGCCTATCAATACCCTTTTACGATTATTGCTACTTTTTCGAAATAAAATAAATTTATTATCAAAAACCTTTTTTTTCTTAGTAAAAATAAAAATGTTATTTTATATCAAGTTTTTATTCATAAATTTTTATAATGTTGTATAAATTTGAAGGTGGAAATCTGTAATAATTTTATCTTGAAAAGACTTGGCATTCTCAACAATGAATTGAGGGGTATTGCATCCAAATTCTGTAATTTGCGTGAGAATACTAAGCTTGATTTCCATTGGGATACTTAATTTCGAAAAATACTGGGTCATTCGTTTTTGAAACTTTGCTGCCTTGACAACTTTATCAAGTAGGTCATCTAAACCCAATTGAAGCGTATTTAAGTTTGCTGATGAGTTAACTATTAACGATTTAATTTTATCAGTGAGCATTATACATTTTTCTGTATCCAGTCTGATTGTAGACTTTTTTGGCTTTTTTTCAGATGGCAACGGAAGCTAGTATACATATCAAGGGTACGGAGTCACTGCGTTCCACCTTACCCATTATATGTGAATTTGACACTTTACAAAACCGTTAACGTATATTTTACAACACAAACGACAACACTAACTTAACCTTAAATATTTACAAAGCCGCCAACCATTTCACCTCACTACTGTAAAAAATAAACGTTCTCACTTACAAAAGTATTGCAACTCTTCCCATTGCTGTGCTTCACACAATAGTTCATATTCTTCAGTATCGCTGCTGTCGCTCCAATCGTCAGAGTCAAAATCACTGTCATAGTTTATACCTGTAAGTTTTGACAAAGCTAATGAAACACGTTTACCGTTTGTATCGTATGCTTGTATAAACTTTCCATTCTTCATTCCTTCATAAACGCTCAAACTAACTTTACCCTTTCTCCCTCGTATCTGATAGAATGTATTTTCACGAGGAACGAAGAACAAATTCTTGAACTCATGACCGTTGTAGTTTGTTATCTCAATAGTTTTCGTCATTTATATAAAATTAAAATAAAAAATAATTTTAAAAAATAAACTTAAAAATTAATGATATCACCACTCCCACACGTATGAAAACATAGCCCAAAAATAAATTTAGGTGAAGTGGTGAGATCTCACCCGTTTTTTCACCTCTTTTTTCACCCTGTTGAATTCATTGCTTTATAACTCTCTTCCTTTCTCCAACTCTTCTAACTTCTTCTTAAGTTCAGCAATGTTGTCCTCATGAAGTTTAATCTTCCTTAATATACCTTCTCTATCTAATGGTTGCTTTATCTTTCTAAACTGAACTCTACCATCCTTCATAGTATGAATGTAAAAACCTTCTGGAATAGTTCCTGATTTAATGTATTCTACCAAAAACTTTTGTTTCATTGCTTCAGTGACTTTAGTCGTCATTTCAATCAAATAAAAATTTTAATATTAAATAAAAATAACGTTATTTTTTCAGTAAGGAAACGCAGGAGTTTTACGATTTATTTGAGGAGTAGGTTCTGGTTTAAATGTTGGAATCGGTTTAGGAGTTGACTTTTGAACAGGAGTTTGTACTTCCATAGGTTCAGGAGTCATTGAAGGTTTTGCTTGTGAAGGTGTTGGAGTTTGTTTAACTTCAGCTACTTCAGTATTATTTACAACATTTGCTTTATTTCTTTTCAACATCATAACTGCTCCTGCTGTAGCTAGCAAACCTAGTGGGAGACCATATTTTATATAAGGACTTGACCAAATGCTATTTTTGACAGGAGCTGGTGGAACACCTAACCTTGGTGAGACTGCTCTTTGCCATTGTGCAGCTCGTAAGAAATATTCAATAGGTGCTCCATAATCGTTTGGTAAAGTTTGTTTCACAGATGGTGAAGGTTCACGAGAGCTTGATGAAGAACTCATTTATAAGCTTTAAAAATAAACGTTCATCCTTTATTCCTCACTGTCGTCCGTAGCTAAGTTATAGTCATCTAATCTTATTATTGGGATTCCATTAGCACGCACCTGAATGGCAAAGCAACAATCCCTCATAAATCCAATAAGTGGCTTTGGTACGTTTTCAGTTGCTAGTTCAATAGGTCCTTTAACAGACAATTTGTATGTTATTGGAGCAGTAGATGTTTGATCTTGCTGGAAGCAAAAGTCCACTTCTGTTGGAAAACCACATAAGAAATGTGTGTTGTCATAGCTATCCCATTTATGTTCCACACTACCATCATCCACCAATGACCTCATAACATCTTCATTAAATCCTATCATATCATTGTTTGTATTGCAAGCGTTCGCAACCATTTCATAAAATACAGGTCCATATGATTTTTCAGGTTCTGCAGGCATATTTCCATAAGCTCCCATGGAAAGCTGAAGATATTTAAACTTAGGGTTCTCAAAATTAACATAATAGTTGTCTTTCTTTCTAAATAGTGCCCAAATACTTTTAACATTAATAGGCGTATAAGCTGCTGTAAATGTTGCACTTGAACTATCTGTATTCTTTGAGAATGAACCGTCCATAGGAATCCAATCCATAACTTTAACAGGAAAACATAAAGCCTCGTTTGTATAATGTTCTACAAGTTCTGTATAAATGTTAGGGTCTAAGGAGAATGACTTTGGATGAATGAAACATTCATTAAAATCCATCTTTGTTCGAAATAGTTGCTGGGTTACAGTTGTAATAGTAACTGTTCCACTAGCTTCTACTGCCTTCGTTATCATAGTGAATGGTTCATTCCATGGAACAAATTTATTTGTCGGTGGATTTGAATCTGAAGCAAATGCAACTTTAAGAGTTGGATTGAAAGCAATGATATCATTTACAGATATAGATGTGCATTGTAAGGCGTCGCTACTGAACTTTACTTTAAGCTGAATGTTTCCTGCAAAAGCTGGAATAAATCGAATAGCTTCTAATGGAAGGAATCTTCTAACAGGAATTCTTAAACGAAGCTTAAAATCAAATGATTTTCCTGCTGTAATTGGACCACTAACAATTTGTCCTGTTCTGCATGTTCCCGAATGACTCCATACATCTTCATGTCGAGTCTTTGAGAAAACATCTACTTTCTTTATTTGTTCGGTAGTTTGTGAGTTTGAAATTATATATGCTTCTTCTCTTGCGTTGTCTTGAGAATATACGATACGACCATTTGCAAGGATTTGATATCCAGCAACTGCATAGAAAGCGTCATCGAAACCAATCCAAAATCCTGGTGGGTTTGTTTTATTGGAACCCGAACCAATTTCTTTATCTACAATAAATTGACCTTCCATTTTATACGTAATGAATGTATTGTAAAGGTCCAACATATTTTCACCAGGAGGTGAGAGATTGAATGTTACCCATGTGTTATCTTTAGCAGTTCCAGGTTGTGATGGAATCTTTGCGTCAGAATATTTTCTATTAGTGTCACCAATTTGAACTGCATTGTCTATGATATCGAAATATGAGCGAATCTGATGAATATGCTCTGCTGGAGTAAATTCGTTTAGCTGTTCGTTCTGCATGTATTTACTTCAGATAAAAATATCTATTTACTTCATTATTCTCACTCTTCTTCTTGGCATTCGTGGTGGAAGTTGTTTCTTGACATTTTCAATGAACTGTACATTCTCTTTTGTCTCAACTTCTTTCACTGGCTGGTCAGGATTCTTTGACTCGGTTTGTTTTTCAATGAAATTCACGAACTTTGCAATAAGCTCTTGGTTCGTTATTGAAAGTACATCTGGCTTCTTTTCTTCTTGTTCTTTTGGTGGCTCAGTTTGAACAGAAGGTTTTATATGGGCTTCGTGGACTTCACCCTTACCATACACCTTAATGTTGTCGCTTTCTGCATTCGCTAATGGAACCTTTCTTTTTCTTACGTATATTTTACCATCTTTACTCTGACTTACGTAATAGAAAGGATGTTGTATTCCTCTTGCGTCATTTAATATAATAGACTATCGCTCTGATTTTGACAAGCTCATTTTACATCGGTTAAAGTTTTAATTTTGTTTTTTATCTGCAGTCAAATGACTCAGACAAGCCCTACGGACAAGACCCAAGGGGTCATAGATGTTGAAGCATTGAAGAAAGAAATTCGTGAGCAAATTTTATCCGAACTGAAGGAACAAAAACAAGAACAAAAGCCAGAGAGACCAAAGAGAAAACTTAGTGAAAAACAACTTGCGGCATTAGCTGCTGGAAGACAGAAGAACCCACGTTTGCTGGCGAAGAAAGCTAGAGAAGAAGCTGAAGCAAAAGCTAAAGAAGCTGAAGCAAAGAAAGAGTAAATGGTTTATTTTTATCCGAATTAAATGTATAGACAAATACCTTTATCTGTTGCGTTCAGTAGTGAAAACCCTGACGTCAAAATAAAGGGGAACAGAGTAACGTTTAAGTTTCCAACAGACTGGATTGTGAACATAAATGAAGAGAAGTACATTGGCATAACAAATATGTATATAACACGTGCTTTCAGAAAGGTTGACTTTATACTTCAAGTCGAGATAGAAAATGACGAACAGTCTTTAAGCGCCCAAAACATTCACATATACAAATACTTTAAAGACGATACAACGTTAGAAGACTGTATAATTACATTTTACGAAAATTTTCAAAAGAAGTTTAACATTGAAGTACAAACTTTACAGCCTTTACGTGAGTTTCTTGCACAACTGAAAGAAGAAGGAATTGTAGAAAGATTAATAGCTTTTCATTACGAGTTTGTACCAAATGAAGATGGAACACATGACTGTCAATTCATTGTATTCTCACCATTCAATGAAGTCGCTAAAAAGAAAGAAAATCCATTACGTATAAGATTTCAAATCTCTGAACCAAGTGATGATTTCAAGAATGTTTTCAATTATGATGCAATGCTTCCGAGGAAAAATGATTTTTCCGAAATTAGATTTCCAGGCATTTGGGATAGAAAGCAAGCTATATTATATTCAAACTTAAGTAAGGGAGTTGAAAATGAGTTCATTGGTCATACAAGAACTTCACCACTTCCTAACCCTAAATACTATAAATTAACTAGCTTCAATCGTGAGTTTTGGATAGACATGTTCTCCACTCATGACCATAACTGCCCAGTGTTCTTACCGCCAGACCATAAGGACTGTCTCTACATTGAAGCACAACTCTTAAACTCTACCATCGCAGTATTGTAAATGACCACATGGGCTTCGCCCTTGCCGCTAGCGGCTTATTTTTATCACGAATGACCTCATTGCTGACAAAAATAAATGACCTCAGAACTTCAACTTACGAATAAAGCTTGTTTTAGTCGTTATTGAGAAGTTAAACTTCTCTTCAAAGCAAGGTTGACATGACTTACATAAGTCGAATGCAATCTCTTGACCGTCATAAAGTGCTTTGTAAAGTTTCATTAAACTGAACTCAGAGTCTTTGTAATATGTTCCTTGCGGAACCATTAAACCTTTATCTTCATCATAGAAACACTGAACAGAGTCAGGAAACATTTCATTAGCGGTTAAAGCAATAACATCTTGCTTCACGCCTTTCATTCTGCAGTGAAATGCAACTTCATTTAAATCATTCGTGAGTAAGTCTATGTAAGTCTTCTTTCCACAAAATATTGACTTGTATTCTAAACTTTGTTTTCCAGGTGTGATTTCTGCAAAGTCGCTATGAAATTGACCAAGGTTTTTACCAATGAGAACTCTTCCATAACGTTTCTCAAACTCTTCAGCTAAACGAGGGATATCTTCATTGTAGAGATGCATACTGTCCGTATCGCTATAAAAGATGTCCATTCCTAAGTCCTCAGCAGTACAGAATACTTCACACATTATTCTCTTCGACATAGACAGAATGTTAACACCAAGTGGACAGAAGTTAAAGTGTCTGCAAATGCTTTTCGTTAGCTTGAAAATAGTTTTATCTGAACCATCCAAACCTTCGAACTTCACTATATGGTTGTAGTTTCTGATGGCATATCTTATAGCATCTTTGTCATTTACTATGGTTATTTTTGACTCAATAGGAGATAGAATAGTTTTGCCATAAATACTGTTCAGAATGAGCTTTATATTTTCTTGAAAAGGATTTCCTTCTTTCTTATACTTTAACCTTAACTCAAACAACTTCTTTACTTCATCTCTTATTCTAATATCTCTGTTTCCATCGTAATAGTATCCTTGCAACACTTCACATTTGACACCTTGATATTTTATGAGGTCTTGTAATGTTATATGGTCAACATACATTAAACAGCAAGTGTTTGAACTTCTGGAACGTTAAGTTCTGGATTTAGTTCAGGGTCACAAACTATTAAAGGAAAGTGTCTGGGTATTCCAATCTCTGTTATCTTAATGAGAACAAAGAAGCCAGACATAAACTTTTCACCAATGGGTTCCTTTTGGTCGTCATCGAATAAATGTCTCATGAGAACTCTGTGCTTAACATTTCTTTCTTCATAACCTTTGGAATACCTTCTAAAGTATAAAGTCTTGCTATAGCTGATGGATATAATGAAACAGCGTCGAAGTCAGCAATGAGTTTCTTTTCGCTCTTTTGTTTAATGTTATCTGACAGCATACATCTTCCACCTTGAATACAGCGTGAAATAAATTCTCTTGGTTTATTTGAGAGGTCATATAAATTTCCATTCGGGAAGTACACTCTGTTCTCAAACAATTTGTTAGCAATAGAACAAATACTAACGTAGTCATAAACGTTTAAATCAAATTCTTTCAATATGTCATTGCGGAACTTAACAAAACCTTCTCTTAAAATTCTTACATCTTGTTTGCAATAAAATGTGCTATACTTTTCTAAGTCGAAGTGGTTCTCATCTATTCTGCAACCTTTGATGGAATCTATGTTTTTCATGAATGTATCAATATCTTTTACAAACTTACATGCTTCAGAAATGACACCAGTTCTGTTGTCATTTGCTAACAAAACACTGCTGTAGTAGTTATATGGAAATACTTCTTTCGGTCCTGTTTGTAAGTTAAACATAGCAGGAAATAGTTTAAGCTTCTTATTTATAACACTGTAAGAGTCTTTTATAATAATTGCCCTTCCTTTATATAAGCCAGTTATTTGCATTGTTCGTGAACCTTTAATGATGGGAGTTCCTTTCACTTCTGTCATGTGTCTTAAGATGAAGTTTATATCATAACTGAGGTTATGGAAATATATTAAACTCTTGTCAGGAAGTCGTTCCAAAAATTCTGTTGCACAGTTCTGACCCCAAACGCTTTCACTCACTGAACCATCTTCACTGCCATAACAGATATTAAAAGCTTTATGAAAGCCGTCTGTGCTACACTCAAAGTCAGCAAAGAAAACGTGCTCAGGAATGAACTTGCACTTATTTTTATTTACTTCTTTTGACTCGGCTTTCTTCTTCAGTTGTACACAATACTTTGGAGCATATGACAAGTCTTTAAATGGTGCAAGGTTCTGTTTATATAAGTCAGTAGTATATGTGAAAAGTTCTCCATAAGAAATAGGTTCGAAATATTTGCACTCCCACAATGTTTTCATAACATCCCATAACGGTGTTGTTCTATCATAACGAACTACATATTTATCTTCTCTCTTTGTATAAATCTTCATCTGTTTCTCAATGTTCATTCCACCACAAGCTTTGAGAATTTCTTTATAGTTTCGAATGAAGTATGTTGTCATTGGTAATCTTTCATTTAGCATGTAGTGGTCTTCAACAAGAAGTAAGTCAATAGTTCGAACAGTTTCACAT